CACCCACCTCTGTCCATTGTGCCGAATATTCAAAATGTTCTTCGTTTCTTTATTATCTTGGACCCAAATTAGGGAATTGCAATTAATCCTCTAAAGGACATAGGCATGCTATTGTTTGGGGTTGGGAACCTGAGTTAGGATTAAGACCCCACTCCCTTTACTGTCCATAACCCCAAGATCTGTGTTGTTCCAACACTCCTGGGTTCTCCACTCGTGTGTCCACTTAACCCCCGGGGAAAAGAAGGACTCAGTCATTTGCCTCGAGTCTCTCAGACATCTTCACGTCTCACTGATCTGCCACGCAGTTGTGGGAGAGTCACGACAGATCTCTGGATCTCCGTTGCTTTACTGGTAAACTGAGGGATCAGGTCAGATGTCGTAAAGGGGTAACCCCGATCAGACCCTCTTCGGGTTCCTCTGCGGTGTTTCTGACAAATCGCAAGCCGAGCCACCGGCGTGGAGAGTTCAGGAATTTCAAGTCCAGACCTGATCTCTGGCTTCTCGCGATGTGTCAGGGGGTCTGTACACCCCCAGATGGCAGCCACAGGCCAGGGCTGAGTGGCAGCTCTTGACAAGGTGAGCTTTCTTTCCAGTTCACTGCAGACCTCACCAGCCCCTACTGTGTACCCCTCCCTCCTTCACCTGTTTCTGCAGTATCTCTGGTTCCCATTATGTCACTTGGGACCTCCTGCCCTAGAAACCCTCCGATGTCCTGGATTAAAAAGATGAATCTGAGACTTTTCCTTGGGCTCTGTGGTGGGAACGGGATATGTGCAGAGGCTTCGAACTGGCTCCCCGCCCTGGAACTCAGCACTTGCTGATATCTTCGTGTCCTGGCCTCTCTCATTCCCTGGGCTGCTCTGTGTTTCTTCGGAGGAAGAAAGGGACGTGGAAAGAGAGCTTTGGAACCGGACGTACCTGGGTTTGAATCCCAGCTCTGCTGCTTCCTAATTAGCCTACTGTCGACTTCTTCATCTTTATTTTTTTTTTAATTTTTTTTTCCAATGTTTATTTATTTTTGGGACAGAGAGAGACAGAGCATGAACGGGGGAGGGGCAGAGAGAGAGGGAGACACAGAATCGGAAACAGGCTCCAGGCTCTGAGCCATCAGCCCAGAGCCCGACGCGGGGCTCGAACTCACGCGAGATCACGCGAGACCTCGCGAGATCATGACCTGAGCCGAAGTCGGGCGCTCAACCGACTGCGCCACCCAGGCGCCCCATGAATTGTTTTATTTTATTTTTTTTTTTAATTTTTTTTCAACGTTTATTTATTTTTTGGGGGACAGAGAGAGACAGAGCATGAACGGGGGAGGGGCAGAGAGAGAGGGAGACACAGAATCGGAAACAGGCTCCAGGCTCGGAGCCATCAGCCCAGAGCCCGACGCGGGGCTCGAACTCACGGACCGCGAGATCGTGACCTGGCTGAAGTCGGACGCTTAACCGACTGCGCCACCCAGGCGCCCCGACTTCTTCATCTTTAGAAATGATTGTTTTTATTATAAAAATAATAATATCTCCACGGAGTTGTTATGAGAGCAATTAAGTATTGAGGACTCTGCATATAAGGCAGGCTGGGAAGGGACCCACTGTGGAAAGGAGCCTTCATCAAACATCATGGTCAGGGGCGTCTGCACGGCTCGGTTGGTTAAGTGTCTGACTCTTGGGTTCAGCTTAGGTCACGATCTTGTGGCTTTGTGGGTTCAAGCCCCGCATTAGGCTCTCTGCTGACAGCAATGCAGAGCCTGCTTGGGATTCTCTCTCCCTCTCTCTGCCCCTTCCCCACTCACGCTGTCTCTGTCTCTCTCAAAATACATAAACTTTAAAAATAACAATCGTATTTACAGTAATCACAGGCACTAACCGGGCTCTAAGTGATGTGCTAAGGACATTGTGCGTCTGACCTCACTGAACCCTCCTGATAACCCTGTGAGATAGGTATTACCTTCACTGAACCAGTGACAAACACAAAGGCTCAGAGAGGTCAAGTAACTTCCCCAAGATTGCACAGACAATAAATAACCACATCCAAACCCAGGCGTTGGGACCCGGGAGCCTATGTGCTCATCCATCATGCAGCCATGCCTGGAAGTGAGAGTCTCCCCTGTTTGTGGGACTGCAGAATAGGGACGTGGTAGGACCCAAGGTCACGAGTGAGGAAGCGGAGGGCGCTTTCGTCTCTCCTGGACCAGACTCACCCCCTCCTGCATGTTGTCTACACTGAGCCTGAGTTGCCGGCTCTCATCTTCTCCCCACCCCCACCCCACCTGTTTTCCACACGACGGCCAAAACAGTGCCCTTAAAACACAAGCAGGATAACGCGGGGCTTGCCCAAAACCTTGCAGCGGCTTCCCAGCGTCCCGAATTGATAATTAACCTCTCACGGCAGCCCGGACGCTCATGGCTCATCCTCCCTTCCTTCCTCGCTCCGGCCACCCTGGCCTCCTGCCCACACCAGGCTCTCTCTGCCCCGGGGGGGCCGTGGCCTGGCTGTGTCCTCTCTCCGTAAGGTCTTCCCCAGGCCTCACCCGAGCCCCTCCTCAGACCTTCCCGACTCTTCCATCTCCACCGTCTGCCCCCAAACGTGCCCTGGACCATCGGAGCGTAAACTCAGCCGGGCAGGGACTCTGCCTGGGCTCTCCTCCTTCCATGGGCCACTTGACGTGGTACCTGGCCACAGTGCGTGCTCATGAACGACTTCTGAGCAAACGGAGGGGTCTTAGCAGAGGGGCTGCACTGCCGGCCCCACCCTTTCCTGCATCCACACCGTCTGCACATGACACTACGACTCCCTCCTTCCCCTCGACCGCGGGCTGGCCTTGCAGCTGGCTCTGGCTGAGAAAAGACGGCGGGAAAGTTGTGCTGGCTTCCAGCCTATGCCCAGGATGCCTTGCCTACCCCCGCTCCTCTGGCTCACCCTCGAAACCCTGCCTCTGCTGTGGGAACGAGCCCAGGTACGTCTGAGAGCGGGCCCCTCGACCGAGACAAGGGTGACCTTGCTTACTGGTGACAGACTCAGGTTTCCTCAGACCCTAACACCGCCTCTTGTTTGCAGCAGGGGTGAGGGGCGTGGGGGAACACCTAGGCTTGGCTCAGAGTTAGGGGTAACGAAAATGAAGGGCACAGCTTTGGGTGTATTTTGGGAGTGAGAGCGGAGTGGATTTGGGGGACCTGTGAGCAGACGAAGAGCACGGCCCTGGGTGCTCCTGGTCACCTCCTCGCACGGCGGTTCAGGAGCAGCGTTGGGTTCGCCCTGCGTGCTGTCCCGTTATGGGGAGGGAGGGGTGCAGCGGCCTCAGGGGAGCCCCCACGGGGACCTACGCACAACAGTCTCCCTCCCTGTCGCTGAAGAAGGAAGCAGGGAAGCCTCCAGAACCACAGCCCAGGCTCTCTCCGGGCTGTGGTGCCCGTGGGTGAGTAAAAGCTTGCAGATAAGGCGGCCTATGGTAAGACGGCTCTAACGTCGCCCAGCCTCGTCCTGGCGGCCTCTGGGGGGCGCGGTGCTGGCTTTTACCTGCTCCCTTCTCTTGAGACGAAGTCTGCGACCCTCACGCCCTCCCTTCTGGGCTCCCCATCACTGTTGGTTTGTGCAAAATCATTTTATTTAGCTCATTTGTGGCTAATGCCAGAGGTCGTAGGGAAGAGGCATTCGAGGGCCAGACTGCGTGGTTAGCGGGTAGCAAGGCTGCTGCGTCCAGACGGGTGATGGACCGCAGGACAGTGAACCGTAACACCCTGGGCTTATACCTGGTCTCCCACACTCAAGAAAGACCTGGCAGGAACAACCTTGGAGCACGTTAACCTGGAAACGGCGGGAGTGGCAGACAGCGGCCTCCAAACGATGGTTGGTCAAACGTGGTTTCGTTACAAGACGACCCTCAGAGAGGATTTATTTTTGAATGCTCTACCGTGATTTTATAAGGAGGCACCGTTGAATTTTGTCCTTATTTCCAAGCCTTGGGCTTTTCCCAACAATGTGGGTGCACCCCTCCCCCACTCTCCAGGGGATGGACATTCACGCCCCCCCCCCCCACTCGGTGCCGCCCCAGCCACATGGAGTGGGTGTGTCTGGTGACCCCCCGGTGACCCCGTCTGCAGCGCTCTGCACCCCCAGCAGCTGGCACGAAGCTTGTTTCAGCCTTCTAGCATGTCCTTCCGGTCGGGGGGCCGCCCCCAGGTCTCGGAGGGAGACTCTGCCCACCTTGGCTGTGGAAGCTGAGGTCAGACGGATGTGCCCCCTGGCGGGCACTGAGGGGAGAACACCTGGGTGCCCATCTCCCCATCTCCTTAGTTGTCTCCTAGGGTGTTCTTCAGTGGCCCCTCCAACCCTAACCAGGACGGAGGCTCACGAGGACACGGGGGGAAGCAGGGGTCCACACCGATGGACACAGTGTGTGTGTGTGTGTGTGTGTGTGTGTGTGTGTGTGTTGGGCGGGGGGTGGGGGGTTGGGGGATGGTTCCCGGAGCAAACCAGGATATAGGGGAGCTTGTCCAAAGGGACGGAGCAGTGTCCGCGCTGCTGGCAGAGGCGGGGAGCCGAGTGACACAGGAGCCTGTCAACGGTCACTGCGTGATGAGTGGGCGCAGGGCACTGGGGTCAGACCGCCCGGTTCACACCCACGGCCATGACCCAGTCGCTTCCCCTTTCGGGGCCTCAGTTTCTCCATCTGTGAACGGGGGTGGCAGCAGCACTTGCCTCGTTGGGTGCGGTGGTAAGGGAGACGGTGGATGTCAGCACGTGACACAGGACTTGCTGTTCGCACCGGAACCCCGTCCTCAGGCCCCGCCCCCACTCCTCAGCTCCCCCTACCGCCCTGCCCTGCTGAGGTCCTCAGACCTCCCCCTACTTCTCCCGCTCCCCCCACTGCCTTGCTGAGGTCCTCAACCCCGCCCATTCCTCAGCTCCCCCTACTGCTCTGCTGAGGTCCTCAGACTCCCCTGCCCACTCCTCACGCTTCCCCTACTCTCTGCTGAGGTCCTCAGACACCCCCCCCCCCCTACCGCCCTGCTTAGGTCCTGCAGCTGCAGACGCTGCTTCTCCAGGCCTCTTTCCTCAGGAGGACAGCGGGCACAGGGACACGGCGCCCTGGCTGTGAGGAGGGCACCGTGACAAAGGTGTGGGCGGGCCGCTCACGCTGACAGTGCTCTGTGTCCGCGTTCACTGACCACTGGACTTCCGACTCACAGGCGGGGGCAGAGACCTCGGAGTACACACTGGACATTCCCAGACGCTGCCAGCCACCCAGACCTGCCTCAGCTGTGGGGACGGTCCTGCCTCACAGGTCTTGGAAGGTGGAGCCAGCCTCTGGCTACAGATGCCCGACAGTCTAGCTGGCCACTTTCCCAGACCCGCTTGCAGCTAGGGCATAGAGTGTGGCCTGGGTCTTGCCGGTCAGATGCACCAGCACCTTCCTAGGGAAGGCACCAGGGTTTGGACCCCAGGACTCTGCACTGAGATGAGGACAAGGGGTGGGGGAGACAGCACCCTGATGAGGTTGCCCAGGGACTGCATTCAACAGTGAGCCGCACCCAGGCCCCTCCTCAACCACCTCTGCGAGGTCCCAGACCCATGGCCCCCGAGCTCATACCCCAACCTCAGCAACAGACTGGATTCCTCTCTTCGCAAACTGGGTTACCCCAGACCTACTGAAACCGGTATTCGGGGGTCCCCATGAATGGGTGGCCTCCCACAATTAACACTCTAGCAATGCCCGTTTAAATCTGCTGCTTACAGATGTGAACGCGGGAGCCCAGAGCGGGTGAGATCTAAGATCACGCGGCCAGGAAGCCACAGACTGATTTCAGAACCCCAGCCTCCAAGGCTCCTCCAAGGCCGGCCTCCGTAAGAGAGCAGTGCGGCGAGCCACACCCAGGCCCTTCGTGGGCCGGATGGAACCCACCTCCCCCTGGTCTCCAGGCGCAAGGACGAGGAAATGGTGCCCACGGCCTCCTGGCGATGGTGGCCTCCTGGCCACAACAGAACCTGGGACTGCGGGGTGCACAACTCAATGACTTTATTACTCTCCATATGCTGAATTGTCTCCGCGGCGCCTCCCAGGAGCAGCCATCTGTCCATCAAACGCCTCCGGCCGCAGAGAGGAGCAAGGCCAAGGAGCCAACTAGCAGAGCCCGACCTCCTGTGGGAACCACTGGCCCCTTCCCGTCCTCTCCCCCCCTCCCCCAGACGGGGAGGGGTCTCCCTCCTTCGGCCCTCCTCCGGATCCAGGCTCCACTTCTGGGCTCCTGGGCCTCGGGCGTCCTTCCCGCCAGGGCGGGAGGCAGGTGCGGAGGGAAGGGGAGGCGGGGCCTGTGGGCGCACCGAGTAGGGTGGGAGGGGCTGGGAGGGCTTTGAAGCCGTAACACGAAAGTGGGGAGGGGGCAGAGAGAGCAAAAGGACAACGTGAGAGCCCGGGCCGGCAGAGGAGCCGGCGCAGGCACCGGAGGGGGGCTGCGGGCCCGGGC